CTACATGCTCACAACTCAGAAATGCATGTTTGACGAATAAGTCATGCATGTAGCATATAAAGAACCCGGAATGTCACGTTGATCTAATTTATGTAAATTACATATCTATTAGGAGTAAATCGCTCCAGAAGAATTTTTCTGTGATAAATGCAAGAATTCGAAACTGGTGTTAGGAAAAACTTGTGAAAATGTGTTCACGTTTCTAGGTGAAAATATTCCTTTTATAGACGATGAAAGATCAGCAATCCACATGCTCTCAACTCAGGAATGAATGTTTGTGGAATCCATGATTCATGAAATATGTTCAGAATATGGAATGTCATGGTTATGTAAACAATGAAAAATACTTGTGTATTGGTGAGCATTTGCTTAAAGAGTGTTCTTCGGTGCAAAATGTCTGATTTTAGACTGGTGATAGAAAAAACCTATGAAGACAGAGTAAATGTTTCTAGTGTATATATGCCTTGTTTGTTGGATGAAATGTCAGTAATCCACATGCTCACAACTCAGAAACGTAAGTTTGTCGACTCGTCATGCATGTAGCATGTACGGAACCTGGAATGCCATGTTGATCAAATTTATGTAAATTACATATCTATTAGTTTGAAATCACTCCAGAAGAATTTTTCTGTGAAATATTCACGAATTCAAACTGGTGTTAGGAAAAACTTGTGAAAATGTGGACACGTTTTTAGATGAAAATATTCGTTTTATAGAGGATGAAAGATCAGTAATCCACATGCTCTCAACTCAGGAATGCATGTTTGTCGAATGCGTAATGCTTGCAGCATGTACAGAAAATGGAATATCATTTTGATGGAATCTATTCAAATTACATATCTATAGTGTAGAATTCGCTCCAAGAGAGTTTTTCTGTGATAAAAGACTGATTCCTGAAACTGGTGATAGGAGGAATCTACAAAGCAAAATACATAATTCAAAGTGCATATGTACCTTCTTTGCTGGTTGAAACATCAGTAATCCACATGTTCACAACTCAGAAATGCATGACTGTGGAATCCGTGATGCATGAAACATGTACAGAGCACGGAATGTCATGATCATGTAAAAAATTTAAATTACATGTGTATCGGTGAGAATTCGTTCAAAGAGTGTTTTTTGGTGCAAAATGTATGATTTTAGAAACTGGTGATAGAAACAACCTCTGAAGTCAGAGTTATCATTTCTAAGTGTATATATGCCTTGTTTGGTGGATGAAAGGTCTGTAATCCACATGCTCACAACTCAGAAATGCATGTTTGTCGACTCCATCATGCATGTAGAATGTATGGACCCCGGAATGCCATGTTGATCAAATTTATGTAAATTACATATCTATTAGGTTGAAATCGCTCCAGAAGTTTTTTTTTATTTGAAAAACGGACGAATTCGAAACTGGTGTTAGGAAAAATTTGTGAAAATGTGTACACGATTCTAGGTGAAAATATTCCTTTTGTAGAGGATCAATGATCAGTAATCCACATGCTCTCAACTCAGGAATGCATGTTTGTCGAATCCGACTTGCA